GTTTGTGTCGGAATTATTTTTATTCAAACATTTATAAATAACGAAACGAGTTTTTAAATTATTTCGTTGGTTAATTTATACGTTTCCTTTAAATTTACTCAAACTTGAAATTTTTAACAAATCTAATTTCATTAACTAATTTTGTTGAATTAATGACATAGATTATAGGTGTTGTACTATAATATAATAACATGAATCATAATTTATATTAATGATGACAAGTCTTGTGTATCCATGACCGAATACCAATAGTAATAAAAGTATAAAAAAAGTGTCGAAAACAGTTAAGAATCGTAAACAACACTTCACGTCTCATTAATTATTGGCGAGTGCCTTTATCCAATCACCTAGCAGTTATTTATCGAAAAATTGTGAGGTGGGTACCTAGGTACCGCAAGTACAGCATAACTCATCGCTGCTTATATCGTTGAGGATACAGTATAATATTCAGTTAAAATTATTTTTATATATTTTAGTTCATAAGATCCAAAGTGTAATTTATTTTTTATAATTTGTTTTTTTATAATTTGTTTAACTTTGGTTATTGCATTAAAGAGTCAAAACGTTTCTTAATTTTTTTTAATTAAAAAAAAATAAACGCTGTATAACACTTTGGAATTTAGATTTTAATATTTTATACTTATAATAGTAATATTATATTTTTATTTAATTGACTCCGATGAAGTACTTAACGAATCAGAGTTAATAAAAAAAGCCAAATTAAATAAACGATAAAAGTCTAGTTGATCTATACATATACATACGATCATACCTATTTACCTACTTATACCTATTTAAATCCACCCATCCATCCATCCATCCATTTACATATACATACATACATGTATACTTATATACGCACATAGCTTAGATGACTGGAATAGTGTACCAACATTTTGCGGGGTAAATGCGTCACCTAAACTTTAAATTTTTGTAACTTGGAATCTACTATTTCTTAATTTRATTTTATTTATCGATATATTCGGAAAAATATTTTGCTAATTCATGATAAAAAAATCACCCTATACTATATTAAATTATTAACAATAGTGTAAGTATTATGAAAAGACTGATGATTCAGTTGTATCATTTTTAAAAATATCTTCCCCTACTAATATTATTATGAGCGAAGTCGAGGACACGAGAAGAACTAGTTTTTTGGATTTATTAGACTTCAATGAGAATGAACAGTATTCTATTATGAAAATAAAAATATTTGATTTTTAATGTATTAATGTATTATACCTAATAACATTTTTATAACATTATAATATTCAGTTACAATTACTTTTATATATAGTATTCATGCGAAATTAAGTATTGTTTATTTTTTTAGAATTTGCTCATAACAAGTTATTTCATAAAAGTATCAAAATACATTAATATTGTTACATAATATATATCCTTAATATTGTAATAACTGTTGAGCCATAATAGTCGATGAAATGCCTCCTCACAAAAGATGCCAGAGAAAAWCTCATGCTCCCCAACAACCTATGTGAAATACTAGCACCAAACACGGAAAGAACATCTTCACTCCTAGAACTTCTCAAAGAAACGAACCTTCTACAAAAAATATAACTATATATTTATTGATATCATATTATTTATCTTATATACTTTTCTTCTTTATACTCTAGTATCATTATGTAAATATAATTAAACTGTAACATGTATATCTTAAACGCCAATAACCCTGGTAGTTGAGGCGTATTTCTAAATAAAAAAAAAAAAAAAATAAAAATAGTCGATGACTAATGGCTAATAATAAAAATAATAATCAAAATTATTCTTATTTTATTTTTAAATAAAAAAAATTTTAACGTTAAATAACAATTTGAAATTTAGATTTAAACTTATAAGACAAGTAATATTGTATTGTTATATTCATTTTTATATTATTCGATTAAAATTTATAATCATAATTCATTATTTTTTKAGGTAAAATATTTGTTGTGATAATACTAACAAATTCTTAAAAAATTAAGATTTTCACAATTGTATAATCAATAATAATTTATTTTTATTGAATTGAATTCAGGAAATAATTTGCGTTTCGTTACATACYTAACTCAAGTTTTATAGCCCATAATAAGGTTGAAGACACCCAAGGGTTGGTTTTGACCAGTGGTTCTAATCATTTTTATATATTCCTTCGAAGTTTGACAATTTTCCATGTACCACTACCGTAACTTATTAACTTTTGTCTTTTATTTTTGGTTATCAACAATAAAAAGTACACTTATCTCATTTACATGCAATTCCAATTTCTATTTTTGATATRTATATATAAAGACAGCTTATATTAAATAAAGTAAATAATATTGAATCTTAAAAATGATTCATTCAGTTTTTTTTTAGAAACGGAGATTTTTTCTAGGCCGAGAAACCCTGAATTGCATTACACCATACACTTCAAAAGTGCACTGTACCCAATCCGCCTCATTATCTATAAAACGTAGTTTCAACATGATGTATTATTTTAAGAATTTCAGTAGGTCTACATAACACCRATATATAATACCAGATTGATAATTAATTATGTTTATGCTTACATAATGTATATTTTACAAGTTATAACAGACCGCTATACTGTTCGATAACTGTACTGAGAACAGTGTTTTCAAAAAGCGTTCTATAGTATGTAATCATAGTCAACAGTCATCTRTGCAGGCTGTGTGTTTTACATATTTTTAGAACTATTGAAATGACATAAACGTTTCTTGAATTGTTTTAAAATTGACGTGTATAATTTTAATCAAAAAAGTTGATTCAGATTTTGAAAAATGAGTCTTAGTATTAAATATGAATATAACTGTTTACTATATAATATATTAAATGTATTAAAAAAATAAAAACAAAACAAAAAAAGATATAAACTGAAATATTTTTAATCATAAAAATTAGTGAAAGAAAATAATGATTTTGTTATTATAGCACAAAAAGAATAATATAGTACAAATATTTTTACAGTAAAACATAACGTTTATTCTAATTTATACATTGATAATATTCATAAAACATTAATCACCTAGAATTTACTAATTATATTGATCATTATTTACAAGATGAATTAGACGTATAGAATTAAGTAGAATCAAGCATTGTATCATATTGTATATATAAAGTAAAAACAAGGTTACATATAATATTGGCAAGAAATTGATGARTTTCAAATTTATTTGGGCAAGATAGAAATAAATGGTAATTTTGTGCTTGATAAATTAATATTACACATAATAATTAATATTGTGAAATGACTTAGACTATATAATGAAAAAAAAAACAATTGAACGAGTGACTAATAATAACACATTTAAATAACATATATGTTCGTTATGGCATAACACATTATTTCTAGGGTACAAAAATGTAAATATAATATAATATATATATATATATATATACGTTTAAAATAAAATAAATAAAAAAAACATACTATCTATAATGTACATGGACGTATGTTTTTCTTTTGTCGCTTCTAACTGTGGTTACCGCATTGCGTTACTTATATGAGCACTTAGTTTTGAACTGACGTGTTATGTACGTGATCAGTGTACACTGACTGGAGGTAAAAAGTCGCCACAACGCGGGAAGTTTTCGGGAACCGGAGGTAAATCAGCGTGTGTCCCGACGTGAAGCACCAAATTCATACCGATTACGATATGGAACAAGAAGTGACAATGGAACAGCCAATAGCCTGTGAACATGTTTAACGTTTGTATAAAATATACGGTGAATTAACTGTACTAACAATATTTTAATATTTGACTCAAGACACGCTCKATGACGATAATAATAGTAATAATTATTGAGCAGAAAAAAAATCCTTTATAATATTATTAAATTTATATTCCGATCAGCAATTATTCTTACCTGGGTTGTCAGCTCTGAACCGGAATACAACGTAACCGTTGTTGGGCACGGCTATCGTATCTTTGAGCGGTGGCAAGTTGAAATGCCTGTCTAAAAGTCCTCTTCGGTCCAAATCAAGGGCGTGTTTCAAATTGATTTTCTTGACGTTCTTGTCGGGTGATCTTCCCATACCGATAACGTTGAACGAGTAACCGTGCAAATGGAACGGATGACTCAAATTTGGTTGTTGGACTATTGAAATATAAAAATAAAAAAATGAAAATTATAACAACAATATAGATTTATCACATTTTGGATATTATTATTGAAATAATATATCAAGATTTGTCAATATGTATAAATTATTACCTTCATCGACCAACACGACTTCCACGACAGCGTGTCTTGGAATATCGACTTTGTGTGAACACATGCAATTTCTGCCACAATTTGCTGGCTTGTTATCTCCGTTACAGAATAATTCTGGAGGTATATCGTCGATCTGGGAAATCATTGGAGATCCTGGAGAGGTGTAAGAGATTTCGTCTACTAAACTGATTACATGGTCTCCACCGCCGGGGGCCACTGAAAAAAAAAGAAAARTTTTTAATATTTTTCACGCAAACTACTGACAAATAAACATAGACAGAGTAATATTTAATCATAGTTATAAAATATTCWTCCTTAATTTATAAGATACACAAATTTTTATTTTTATGTAATCGATTTAACGTATATTGGTATACCCAAGTATTTGTTATATTGATGAGGTTGGAAAAGTTCGTCAGGTCTGTAGAATAAGAATTTGAATGGCAAAAATATTTTCACATCGGGCCTTTCTTGTAAAAGACCTTTGTCAATAACTTTGGCATTTTTCAGTTGGTTCACACAAATGGCRTCAGTCCTGGGACGATCACAAACAGCATCCAACGGGTTCATTACCTATCATTAAAACGAAAATGAATTAATACAATATCTAATATACTGTGACGAATTAATAATAATCACTTACGACACCCTGTGGTAAACCAACATCATAAGTTGGAGCCTTTGATTTCGGTTGATATGGTCCTCTAGCATACCTGAGTATGGCCAATTGTTGTACGCGTTTGTTTCCACATTCACCAAGACCTCTGACTTGAATCCAATACGCACCGACGGGCTGTTCCGCATTAATAATGAAATCGTATCTCTCTCCTGTCGGACACATTGAGATATATATTATGAAATGGTGTACATTRCACGCAAACGAAAAAAAACAGCTTATCATCTCAAACATTACCCGAGAATGAAATGATTGTATTGACGACCACCGGCTGAATAGGTTCTCCGTCTGTAGCAATAAGCACGAGCGGATGTCCTTGGATGGTAATTTGGGCTGGACAGACAGATGCTAAGGCGTTGATCATTCTAAACCTGTACCTTCTACCCGGTGTGATGGTAAAAGTTTCCAAAGGCGTGTTAGTACTAAATCCAGTATTTGGGTCCTGTAATCGAATAGCAATGTTTAATTACCATCGGTTATTGCCTAAAAAATAAATTATTCATCCGCACTCACCGTGAACTGCCCTTTGCCATTGATCAACAGAGATTCGGGATCCTGCCCGGTATTTGCAGCTAATCTACCTGGGAATCGTTCCATTCCATTTTCATGGAGCCAATCAGACAAGAGTACCACGTGTGTGGTCAAATCGTAATCGTACAAGTGGCTGTTGGGATCTTGCGATGGTGGTTGTCGTACAACAATACTACCGTAGATACCATCAATTTTTTGAAGTCCTAAACAGCATATGGTAATAATGTTTGTAAAAATTTAATGGTAAAACAAAAGTTTATCAGCAGACTATAACTATTTCATAAACTTTTTTTTAAGCGAATATTTACAATCTGTATACAAAAAAATACAAGAAGTAATAAGTATAAAACGATTACAAGGCTTGACGTCATGATTGAAGGAAACGTCTAATAATGTTTACTTCAGAATGAATTTTTTTTGTTTAATTAATTAATTATTAAAATTATTTTTTTTTCTCTTGTCGAGGGTTTAGGAGGTCGCGTGGCCAATTAAATTTTAAGCGACGTGGAGGATTATCCGAGATAGTAAAAGAGGATAAATTAGAGGTTGAAGTGAAATTTTTTGTAGTGCGTAGATGCAAGTACAGAGAGGGTAGGAAATTTTAGGTCGYTGTGAAAAGTTTTGTTGCTAACATACCACGRTGCTTTATCTAATAACCGTAAGTTTATGGACTGGAAAGATTGAAGCAAATGAAGATTTGAGACTTTGGTCGATCCCCAGATTTGGATGGCATAAGTCAACGAAGGACGAATTAGTTGTTTATATAAGAGAATTTTGTTATTGATTGAGATATTGGAGCAAAAAAGGTGTCTTAAAGTATAAAGTTTTAATTTAATTKATATTTTTTTGGTTTTTATGTGRGTAGCCCAAGTTAGACGTTTGTCCAAATGAATTTTTAAGTATTTAACAGAGTTAACCAAAGGAATTATTTTATTATTCAGTGAGAGTGGAGGACGGACTTTTGGGCACAAGGTGAATGTGACGATTTATTTTCATTTATTTTTATTCTCCATAGATTGAACCAAATTTGCAGTTAATTTAAATGACTTTTAGGGTTGTCAAAGGCAATATCAATGTCTAGGTCAGAAGACCTTATGCATRTGTCGTCCAAAAAAGCGGCTAAATTKGTGAGGTTTGAATGATGTATTTTAGCGGGATAAATGTTGTACATTGTGGGGGCAAGGATGTTATTTCAAGAGACACCTGCTTTATTTGAATGAGTAGCAGAAAGTTCGTMCTCACATCTCACTTGGAAAGGTCGGAATAGTAAGAAGTTRGAGTTTAGAGTCAGGTATATCGGAAYAGGAAGCCATCTAATCTCGTAAAGAAGTCCTTTATACCAAACGCGATCAAACGCCTGGGCTACGTCAACCAATAGGGCTGGATAAAAGTGTTTTTTTTCTAGAGAAGAGGCAATGTTATCGACAATTCTGTGCACTTTGTTTACTGGAATTWTATATGCACATATTATGAAKTRTATTCAACGTAAAAATATATGATTCTGAGATTRAACACCTTTTATGGTCATCGGAAGTTTAACGGTTCAACCCACCACGAATATTTATAGGTATCAAAATTAGTATCGATACTCGTACGGAACAACAATTAAACTTAGCACTTTACCATCATAAAATACTCAGAGTTTTATAAAAACGAGTTTAATCCAATTAAATACTATTTGCAAAAGGAAAAAGTTAAAATATTTTTGATAGTATAATATTATGCTATTAAATATTCGTAATTGGCGCTATTATTAAGTGCGAATTACTAGGCTTATATAACTATTAGTTGTTTTGTCAAATTTTAAATAATTCATAATGAAAAGCGATTATGTTAATTAACTTACATAAGAAAGTGAAGATAATTAAATGAATGAGTATTTGATGGGCTAACTATCAAACTAATTTATGGTTTTATATTAACATATTTTATTTAGCGTTTGTGAAAGTTATTTTCTTGTAGATAAATATAAATCAAAAGTGTTTTCCTTGACATGAGTCTATTTATGTATATTTAAAAAAAACTATAAAACTATTATATATTATTACCTACATGCAATTTACTACCTATACAAAATAATATGACGTATAAAAATGTAGGTATAGGCATCACATTTAATTTTTTACTGATTTATTTATCTCTTGTTATATTTTTTTCAAATGTATTAAATTCTTTGAATGTATACGAAGCAGAGTTAATAATTATTAGAAATACCTAGARGAACACTGTATATAGTTTTGTTGAAAAAAATTAATTGTCGAATTTGAAGTGAGCAATTGAACGTTAATTTATTGAATTACATTTCGCGTTTAAGTTCATTGGAAGTTCGTATTTTTATCATTTATGTATAACTGTTTACACKGAAAGTGACATTTCATTTCGGTTCATATTCAAATATTTTAATTTAAGTGGTTTTGTTTAGATAATAATTATTAATTCAATAACTTTCACTARATTGTACTACTAATGTACTAGGCACTTTATTATATAAGGCCACATGTAGACATTGCTACTATTTATGTTGAATAGGTATAACTATAACTGGGTTAATGTGTGTGAATCATGGCCGGCCGACCGGATAAGAATACACAGACTATGTTTTTTTTTTTTTTATTGGAATTTGATCGCTCACGCATAGTATATACCTACGTATAATATAGTGTGCATATTAATAAAATGTTAATATGCTATCAAAACCAATCATAAATCCTGATTAACTGTTTCAATATAGGCGGTGGTGGCTAGTAGGTATGTCGCACGTGGAGTGCATATTACGTAGACGTGACCGGCACAATATGTACATYATACATTAAATAATATTTATTTTATTATTATTTTAAGTTTTATTTATCGATTATTGRTTATACTTAATATTGGTTTTACACTTACCGGAATGGGCGTGCCAGAAATGCGTGCCACTGTTGGTGTCGAATTGGTATCTGAACGTGTTTCCTTCGTGAATTGGACATTGTGTGACGTACGGGACACCGTCGTAGTATTGAGTTCCCTTCTGGTGAATTCCGTGCCAATGGATCACTAATTCCATACCTTGCATGTGGTTCAAGACGTCGATGACGACCTTATCTCCTTCGCAGACCTATATACGCCCGCGGGAAACAACGAGAGAAATAAAATACCACGTCGAGAAGAGAACAAGACGCGTATATACTACGCGATATCGTAACACGACGATGGATATATATTTTATATATACCTGTATACTTGGACCGGGCAACATACGATTCACAGCCAACATTCCTCTTTCGACACCATCAGCTAATATGCACTGACAATGGCTCCACAAAGTGTTGGTGGCGTTTGGTGTGCACACTTGACAAGCTCTATACATTCAAACAAAAGGAAATTTAATTTCGTTCGAAACGCGGTAAATAACCACTATATAAAATATCATAATCAACGATGAGAATGTCGTAAGGTGTTTATTGGAACACATATATATATATATAGAGAGAGACGTCTATTATGTTCCATATTAAATTATATGTTGAATGATAAGTTATGTGTATAATATATAATATAGGGACCAACGAGTTACACCGAAGACAACGAAATAATGAAATTATGTTCATGCTTACGCTCCCAGTACGTTGTATAATTCTGCGGTGAAATGATAATAACATATTCTGGATGGCTCTCCTTCGCGACAAGCTCTTGCACATTCTTCGGGTGACGAAAGTTCAGGATTCTTACGCAATTCTTCGAGACCTCTTTTGTCGAAGTCTAGTGATGAATATCCCAAAGGCGGCAAATTACCGTGCGATGCTTCGGAAATGCCTTTTGAAAGAAAAAAAATAATAATATACGAACGAGTTATTTAATTAAAATACAATATCATGGTTACAAAATGTGTGTTATTATTTTAGACCACTCACTTCCAAACCCAGAAAAGGTGGCTGGGTGAGTTTGTACAAGTCCGTGAGCGGACGGGAAATATTCTTCTGGCTGAACGTAGGCAGAGTCATCTTCCTGTGCAGATTGAACATGTCCCGGAGTCCAATACGACTCCGCTGTTGCTTGATCATTCGATTCACCTCCTAAACACATGATAATAATGACAGCGTTAATACTGAAGTATTGTAAATACATATTTTTAATAATTGTGCTGTGTCGTAATTATTATTTTGACTGTGAAACAGAATATTTTATTTTTATTATACCGACATTAGTAACGAAACAATATAATGATAATATATATTGGATTTGTATAAATTCTTCTGAATATTCGTGCGCAGCTACGCGATTTCTAAACGTAAAAATAAAAAAATAAAATGTTTTAATACCTTGTTATTACACACTAAACCATTAACCGATTATCGTAACAATACTAAAAATACAATTTATCTATCCGCAATGTGTGTAAAAATCAGCGCGATGTTTGATTGCTCAAAACCCCGATAAAAAAAAAAAAAAAAAAAAAAAAAAACATTTAGGTTTTCCATTCATAATAATGATTTAATTGTAATCCTGCTTACACGAGTTACGGATTAACTGGTGTTTGTATTTCAGTATTTCCTAAAACGTACGTTCTAAAACGTGAACAAGAATAAAGCATATCTACCAATATACGAGTACACGCGTACGAAAGGTAATTGGAATGTTACGGGCATATAAAAGATAATAATATATGGGCATATATATACAAACAATGTTTCAATAGTTCTATTCAAAGCCATTTACTGTCGTAATAAGTCAAACGTTTGCAATAATAATATTGTATTTGCGTATTCAAATATAATACTCATATGACCACAATGATAAAATGATTTATTACAAAATTATTATTATTATTCGAGATCAAGAGGTACGACTCAACCCCAAAAGAAGACATGATTTTCCACACGGCCTCCTGCAGTGGAGTAAGTATCTTATAATATGCGATGTAAAACACGATTGAAATGTACGTAATATTATATTGTCGATTCCACGATGCGCAATGTGCATAATATAACAATTAATAATCATAGATAGTAGTAACTGTTTGTTCAAATATAAAAAACCTATATAGTGTTTTGACTTTATGAGCTTTGATTAAAAAACAAACACGAAACCCGATATCCATGTTTCAGTACGACATTTACTGTTCAGAAATAATTTTGTACCGAACAAGTAATGGGAATTTATCATCAGTTTCAAAATATTATAGACCAAAACACATAACTACGTTGCGAATACAGTAAATGATTTACTTATGATTTAAACGTTTTGCGAAAAACTAGACAACTATTATATGGAATATAACCAATTACATTCATCTTAGACCAGTAGACGACAGCAAATAAATAGAACTCAACAAATAAAATGTTTTAGAAAAATTGTCCAGTGGAGATAACGAAAACATCACATGTACATATATATTTTATAATTGTACAATGTACCTATAAACTAATATTAGTAAAATATATGTTACATTTGCTTGCTGTAGTTTTCATTTTGAGCGCATATAATACACAATAATATTATACCTCTATTATACATTTTTTTTTGAAAAATAGAGTTTTGTCAAATATAATTAACCTGACAACAAATATTTTTATCGTATACATAAATATTTTTTTTGAATTATATTATTGTTACAGTAAGAATAGACTATAATATTTGCATATGGTCATTATACGTTGAGTTTTCACGGTGTAAAAATTGTGGGAGAATCAGGATTGAGTGAAAATTTGAAGAGAAATCGATTGAAAATATTAGAGTTATAAACTGTCAGCTCACAAAAAAATAGATTGAAGGGTGTTGGTTGGTGAGTGAAGCTTACAGTGGAACAGAGCCCTCATGTATGATATATTTTAACATAAACTACTATAAATTATACCGACACAAAAGGTTGAATGCTTAATCATTTATTCACACTTATTAATAATTTAGTTTTCTGTTGGCTTTCAAATCGAGTGTGTGACTGTTTTTATTTTCGCTACTTCTGTCGTAACTGCATTACTTATTATATTGTAAATTGAAAAGTTTTCAATGTTATAAGAAAACATTATTATTTTTTATACTGTACCTATATAATTATAAACAGATAATGAGGTGTTATGTGCACATTTATAGTAGTACCAGCTACTAAATCATACTATGCATATATCATATTATTACGTCTGCATTAGTTTTAACGATCAAGTATCCGGATTCGTATCCGTTTGCGGTTTTTAAAATAATGAGCATAACATCATTTGAATCGTCACCCGATGCATACATTATTATAATGATTATAATATTATTTATTTGTCGATTGCGCAATAATAGGCGTTTCGTGTTTATTTTTTCATTGTGTTAAGAATAATACAATTATTATTGTGCACGGGCTGACATTCGTGCATAACCCGGAAATCAGAATCCCGTAATCTTTCACCCCGTGTTGTAATCGTTGTGATATTTTTGCTTCGGAATGAGTACGTCATATATGCTTAACTATTACAACTATGGTGCTGTTATTCTGAGTACAATTGTTATTGTTATAGCGTTTTTGTACCGTAACTCTCGAATATATGTTATGTAAAATAGAATTGCAAAGTGTTCGTCTATTAAAGTATACTATATATAGGTGTACCTTCGAAAAAAAATTAAAGATCGAGATTGAAATCAAAATTTAGGTTGTAATGATGGAAACTTGATATGGATTTTACCAAAATGGAGTTGTCGTAATGACTAGATCGTAATATTATTATATACAGCACAGTGATTTAAGATCAGTTTTTTTTTTTTTTTTATCAAGAACGATGAAAGCTACGAAAAACATCTATATGGCGTGATTGATTTGAGTTCCTTGATAAATATATGAAACACTTAATGAACACAATATTTTGTACTACATTACCAAATGCAGTAGGTACAATCTTTGGTCTATGAAAAGATTTTGATTTATTTCTCCGCAGTTGGTGACGTTGGTGTGTTTCCATTTGCCGCTCAATGTCATATACGCACAACAAATAATTTAGAATATAAAAAATTAAAATGTAATTATTTTATAAAAAATCATGTAAAATGTTTTTCGTATGAAAGATTAAATGGCTTTTCATTTTGTATGCATAGAAAATAGGTATTAGATAGATGCTATAATATCTAACTGGTCTTAAATCATAATATAATTAAAATATTGAATATTAACATTATGTTACATATTTTACTAGAGTTTTAGGTTGTGAACTTTGTTCATATGGTCGAGAACTTTAAATGTGTTTGGCTTTGAAATTCTACTCTATTTGTGTTTACGTTGCTATTTATAATAAACCATTATAAACTGTCATTCAAGTGATAATTTTTTAATCGTTGTGGTGAAAATACAAATTTAAATTGTAGCAGTATTCTGATATTATAATATACATTTTAGATACATAATATGTGATCTGACCAATCTTCTTACGATATTTTAATATCAATTTGCATTATAATATGGTATAATCTGAATAAGATTTAATTGTTTAAAAAATGTAATAATATTTTAAAACAGTTAAATATTTCGATTTTAAAAATAAAAATATTTGGTAACATTTATCTATTGATTGTGGACTTAACATTTTTTAATCTGAGAGCCATCCTTTTGTTTTCGATTAGTATCTTTTTGTCTTTCAATGCTTGATTTATGGCTGCACTAGATTTCCCTGCTGGTTTTATGAATGGAGATATGGGGCGTCTAGGCATGGTCACTGCTGCGTCAATTTTTTTCTGAATTATTTGGTTGTTCATATTAATCTCCCAGTTTTGTTCTTTTGTAAATAAACGATTGTCTTGATCACTATTACTGTAAGTTGTACTAAGTCTTTGGTTGCGTTGTTTAACGGATGTTGACGTTTGTGAACTAGATTCAGAAGGACGACAACCCATTTTATATCTTATAGAATCGAATTATTTTTTAAACGCTGTGAATTAGCTTTTTTTTTCAAAAACAAACGAAACAAGAATCGAAACAGAACCATATAAATCAATCAATAAAACATTAAGACTATATACCTACAATCAACAACTCTACTTTACATAGTTACGCGCAGAATATGTATCTTTACAATTAATTAACACTCTAAGTTTATTCTCTAAAGTATTAAATATTATACTAATTAACATTTAACATTAGGGTCAGTTATAGTTCTCCGACCAACATCCATAGCATTATCTACAGAGCGGGATTGGGAAAATTTAGTCAATCTCGTTCAAATGTTTTAACTTACCCCTCTCCCTCTAACATCATTTTAAATAAATTATGAGAGTATGTGGTGGCCCTCCACGCTAAGTAGTATCGCACGAGAGGGGCGTTTAGGGGGAGGCTAATTTGGCCATGCATATAATGATGGGCTATCCTTATATCGAAAATAACTATAACAATTATAATTTTTAGTCGGAATTATGATACACATTAACATATTTACATAGTAAAGTAACTAGAAAATATTATGTTTATTTCGATATCTATGAAATAGTCGGTATTTACCTATAAGAGTATAAATTATTAAAATGTGTAATATGAAATTATTATATATTTAAAATTAGAAATTCCACGACAACTGTAGGACAATTATTGACTAAGTACTATGATTTAAAATTAATTAATTAATTGTATTAGTAGAGCAAACAAAAATATGGTGAAATTTTTTCCTTTATATCCGGTGCCCATATTTCTGCTATTTAACCGAAATTTGGTCGTATGAGTATAATAGTAATAACGACTTCTCGATAATTAGTGTAAGATAATTTATACTATTATTATTATTAATAAATATAGATATACCAATAATAATAATAAATAAAAGACGATACGAAAAAAATTCCGGGCACGCGCCTATAGTGAAATTGTGTAATTAGAGGTTGAGGATGACCGACGGTTTCTATAACTCTCAAAACGTCTTATTATCGTAAGATTGTAAATTGCCATAGTAATAACAAATGGAATTACTAAAAAATACATGAAATCCGGTTCAGACGTGTAGAAATCAAAGACACGCGTGTTTATTTATTTATTTTTTATTTTAAAAGAAAATACCTATCATTTTCCACTATGTAGAAAAATCTACGACCATAATAATATTATGACATAAACTGT